GGATTATATTGACCCACCAGCTGCGCGATAGGATACGCATCCATGAAATTAGTCGTGAAGAATCGTGGAATCAACGAACTAAGAAACAGGCACTCCTCAACGCGGGATTCCAGGTCGTGTTGCATAAGATTCCGATGTTGCGTACCGAGCACACTGGAGAAACCGAAGTGTTTGAACACGTTCCCTGGTTTCTGGCTTTCGGATATGGCAGCGTCGATCATCATGTTGATGCCCATGACCATTTCACCAGAGTGGAAGGAGGACTCGACGTGGTAGACGGCGGCTGCGCCGGATAGCAGGGCACAGCGTGCGGATAGGGATGTGATGTCATGTCTGTGTGGATAACTTTGGCATCTGGATAGAGGATTTCGAGGTTGGATTTTGAGGGTTCGGAGTGCGCGGCTAGGCGGAGTCTTGTCCTCCGGCCTGTTTGCACCGGGAATTTCAAGGCAAGTCAATAATCTTAATCCAGGCTTTCTTTTTCAGTGCAGAGATCAGGAGATTCTACGTACAGTAAAGTAAGTGTCAATTCAATGAAGAAAGCGGAATAAAACAGCGCTACATGTAATCAAGACTCCACCCCGATTCACATCTGTTAAAAATACATGAACGCGGCCATATTTGTCGGGATCTCCAAAGACCCATAAAATCCTTAATAAAATTTTGTATTCGGTGGAAGACCTTCAGCTTGATCATGTCTCTATTTTCGTCAGTTAGCATGCTTTTCAAAAGTGGGAGCAACGGAGCCCTTACCAGTGCTTCACCGAATCCCTTCACAATCGCGATCTCGTAGTCACAGCGGGCCAGTTGCTCGGGTCCAAACTCTGCGAAGGTCGTTGCAAAATCAAAATCAATCCACACCAGCCTATCGGGGTTTCCATGAACGAGGAGAATATTTCTGGCGTAGATGTCTTGGTGGTGAACGCCCGCCCTGTGTATCTATCTCCCTCATGCCCTCAATTGCCTGGGGATAGAGCTCGTCCGAATAGTTCACGCAGTTTAAGGCCTCTGCATCTGGGAGGTATTCTAGTAATATTGCCCTAGGAAGACAGCCCGCAAAGTCACAATTTAAAAACCGGTCGAGCATCGAGGTCATGGTGCAACAAGTGAGGGTGAAATGTTTTGTGCGGGGGCAGACCCTGCTTTTATAATGCAGAGGGTGGGCGGATCCGGAGTTAATATCTGGAAGTAGCATGTCTGTAGAAAAGAGCGTAGGGTACATGAATTCTGTATGCAAAGATTCCCCCAGTTACCCTAAATTCGGACAGGCTCCATATCGACCTCTAACGACATCTATATTCTTTTCTGGCTTGGGAGGGTTTCAAGATCAGGCTCTTTTGATACTCACGGACTGCACAAAAGCGAGATCCGGCCAGGGCCCAAGTCACCACATTTCTGACAGCGAATACTGCGAGAACTTTCATCGACTGGCGTTGTGTGGCTAGGATGATGGGCGAATTCTGAGCACTCAAGTTGATTGTGAAAATCCGGGGGCAGGAATGCATTCAAGCGAAGACGATGCGTGCCGTTTGGATATTCGTCTTGAAGCTCTCATCGGATATCGCTTATGGACCAAACAGACACACAACATACGGCGAATTGCTATTTGTGGAGCAGGGGCTTGTGGATCAATCAGTCATTCCTGAGCGCCAAAACCTTGATATATATGACTACTCCGTACGGAGTAGAGGGTATTCTTTTCTCAGCAAAATTGATTTCCCACATGCATATTCTCTGGCCAATAACATATGTATGATTTGCAAGCGCCGGGTGTCTGCTCTGATTAGTGCTAGATCTGTAAACTAACGAAACATTTCTATTTCGGTCTCTGTTTGCTACACATGGTCTCAAATAGTCACAAAAGAGAGTGGCGGCCAGGTAGAGATCGATATGCGGGGCAGGTGTCCCATCGAGAAAGCCGCTTTTTCATGGTTATGCAATGCTAATTTAAGTAGTTAGAGATTTGGGCTCTTTTTCTGCCTCGCGCCATGTGTAAACAATGAACATCCCTTGGGCTCTTAAAACTGCTCGAGCCAGGAACTGCTGTATTGCTGCTACATGCAGTAGATAATGTAAAGAAGAGTTTGACCTTGACTTGGCCAGCAACATAGAATCGAGCGGGGGACCCTGTCTAATGGGCACGAATACCACAACAAAAGATGCATCCAGTACGGTAGCAGACCCGAAGGGACCAGTTTCGGCCGCCCCAGCACCAATGGTAATTGTTTAGGGGCAGAATACTGCTTAAATCAACCTCTAAATAAAATTCTTATCTAAGAATAAAACCTTAATTGAAATCTTATCGATTTGAATCTATCATTGAGAATAATATAGATATATGCAGTGTGTATAGTGCCGAGCAAGGGAGAGACTAGCAACGATGCGCAGAATGCAGAAGCAAGGAAAATATAACAATAAAAAATGCTCTAAAATAATATGCCCCTGCATTTTATAATCACCAATCCCGTCCTAAACGTTCTTCATCGTCGTCCATAAGCTCATAAGCAGGGCTGTAACGAGCCTTTCCGCCATTTGGAGTATATGATGAAGAGGAAGGTCGCTGTATCGGATCATCATTCGAGTTTTCGTTGCTTATTATCTTCAACTTCGGGTTGGGATGTGTATCATTTGTCCCGCCGAGGCTAGTGTATCCCTCGTCGTACAGAGGACAATACTCAATCCCGAGGTGCCGAATAAACGCCCATATTTCAGCATAATGCCAGTCGATTACGGGGTGGATACGCATAAAGCCAGGCCACCCGTGGTCTGTGTGGTCGAAATGCGTTAGTTTCTCGCCGTGTGGATCTGTGCGGCGAGTGCCGACGAATATAGCGCGCATTTGCGGGCGGTGGTCTAGGTAAGAGGCGAAAACAGTACGACAGGATTGAACGGGGGATCGTGTAAGCGACTAGGAGAAGTCATGTGAGGAAGAGGCAACAAACTCCTCCACAGAGCGGAAGGGGTGGTGCGGTTGTGCGTATATGGCAGGTATTGTAGTTGGGGGAGGCGTGGGTTTTCCATCCTTTGACAGACTCTCGGTCGTGGGTAGTGGGTGGAGGCAGGATAGGAATAAGATGAGCATTACTAGACAATCCTTGCCGCCGTTGTATGATAGGGAGAGCTCATTTAGGGAGAAGCGTTTGAGTGCCTCTTGAATGACGTTGAGAGAGATGCGGGTTTGGTTCTGCACTCTATACAGCATGCTCGAAGCGTCGTGCGGTTCAGAGAGGAATGAAGCGACTTGTTTATGAAGGTTTTCGACTACTGTGGGGAGGGGGGGTTGCGAATGTTCTTCGTGAAGGTGTTGGCACTCCTGTTCTTGCGCATATGTGTGTCCATTTTCTTGTGTACACTTCTCTTGGGCGGGCTCAAGCCCGTTTGGAAGCAGCGCATCTCCAGCTGCTCTAGTGGACATGGCGATGAGCGCCAACCAAAAAGATTGGTGGGGCAATCGTTGCCGTTATTACTTAGGATCTGGCCAAAGACGAAACGCCAGGGGCAGTAGGCAGAGTTAGGAAGGGTTATTTCATTTTTCACTGACCATTCTCCAGTATCTGCTGGATTTTATCCGACATTGGACTCCAAATGAGGCTAAAATGATATCGGCAAAACCTTGAGTCTGATAATGGCTTAGTCACGGCGCTCTGCCGAGGAGCCGCAAAGAAAGCCGACGCTCATGCTTTGAAATACAGTACATACATCCTATCATGGGATAACCGTCCTTTTTATTGTTGTTAAAGGAGATCAAATTTTATGAGTTTATCTTGATTTTTCGTGAGCCAGCAAATGGGCTGCTAAGCCTGATATAATGCATCACCAAGTGCCATGATGTCATTGGCGACAAAGTCAGCGATAAGATATCTCCTAATCTAATACCAATACACGTAAATCGGAAGAACTATACGCAATTTCTATTTGAAGTATCATGTTTAATACTCTAGAATTGCCAAGGTGCTGTCATCTACGGTCGAGAATATCAATGCGAGGCTCAGCAGCTCTTCTTTAGCATTACACACCTCGGCCAACAGGCAAACCCATCAGTGACGCCAGGTGTTGCACGTGGAGTCCTTCGTTGCTCTGTGGCGTGTTGCTCAAAGTCTCATACATCTTCCGAGCCAGCGGCGACATTGGAGGCAAAGTCTTTCCGGCGAGAGGACCACCACCGCTGGGATGTGTTGCACCAGGGAGCGGCCTCTCATTCCCCAGATGGCCCCCTACTGGGCCTCGCGTATAGTATAGGTGAATCGCTGTGGCTTCGAGAAAATGGCAATTGTATTCATCAATGTTCGTTATAGGGCGGATGACATGCGCGACGAAATTCCGTCGATTGTTGAAGTTATTAAGTTTTCCCCAAACTTTGGCGTACCCGTTGATTGGAATTTCTGATTCCGAGGAGCGTGGAGCATCTCCCGTATCCATATCATCTCCTGTGGGATTGACTGCGTTCTTTTCGAGCCATAATTTTACTTCAATTTCCCCCGTGCCGTCGTCAAGTTTATAAGTGACAAATGTAGTAAGGTGGCTGACAGCGCGGACCTGGCCGACGAAGGTTACCTGTGATACCTCCGTGCCATCAATTTTAAAATCTGCATCTCCATGCGCTTGGGTCGCATCCAGCGTTTGCTTAATTGTCACAGGACGAAGCGAGTTTTTCATATAGCCCTAAACCAGGAAGCGCGCTTGTTAGCCGCGCCAAGGAGTAACTCGACAAGCCGCGGGCGACGAGGACAGTGAGAGAATGCTTTAGTGGTAGTATCATATTCATACCCTTCCGTCTGACTGACTGCCTCCTTGGCTACCTCCTTCACCGCCTGTGAAACCCCCTCCGCCCATGCCACCTTGCGCACCATAAAACGCTGTTGAGTAGTTCGCGTATTCACCATCTGAGCGGGAATATATTAGCTTTGAGAGAAAATACTCAAACCAACAAACAAGAGGCTACCAACCCATAATGGCAGGAGGGGTGTTTTAAAAACTAGGGAGAAAGGGTATTGAGAAAGGTGGTGATACAATGTTTTTTGGTTGTCTTGATATGATATCTAAATCCGCCCCGCCTTGACTGACTTCCGCGAAGACGTGTCAGTCAACGCGTTCTTTGGACACGCTTGGAAATTTGGTGAGAGCTGTCGGAAACCGGAGGAATGTTGTTCCACTCACCGCCTTCCCTTCGTAGTTTTCCCGCATTCGGAGGCTAGAAAAATATTGCAAAATTTACGCTGGACAAGAGATGTGGTACATAGGCTCGAATGGTAATGCTGGGCAACGGTATGTAACTTGGATGTTTGCATTTCTTTGATCCGGGATGTGAAAGCGCTGACTTCTCTCCCAGACAACAACATCTTTTCCGCGACATGGGTCGATGAGCACGAAGTTGTCGCTGGAGAACTTTAGCCCCGAGCCCAGGGATTTTCTTGGATATCCCAGCTTGGTAGACCGACATATTCAATCTGTGTCCTGCCTATGCCTCTTTTCCAATGGCCATGCCTCATCGAGATGTGTCTCCAGCGGCCTCGGAGAACGAGTTCGATATCTCAAATCTCCTCTTTAAGGGGCAGGATGATCTTTCCGATCTCGAGAGACCTTCCAAGAAAAGAAAGCCACAAGAAACCTTGATCCTCGATGTTATGGGCGATGGCGATGACGGCGCTGATGGCGACGAAGAATTCATTGCTGCTCAGCAAACAGCAGCAAACCGTAAAGCGTCAAATCTTAGAGGCCGAACTGTGAAAAAGGGTGGAGGTTTTCAGTCCCTGGGGCTTAATGCAGCTCTTCTCAAGGCCATTACGCGGAAAGGATTTTCTGTCCCAACGCCCATTCAGCGGAAAACTATTCCACTTGTGTTGGATGATCAAGATGTTGTAGGAATGGCAAGGACTGGATCGGGGAAAACTGCAGCATTTGTGATTCCTATGATTGAAAAGCTGAAAAGCCACAGCGCAAAATTCGGGTCTAGGGCATTGATTTTGTCACCCTCTAGAGAATTGGCCCTACAGACTCTCAAGGTCGTAAAAGAGTTGGGTCGTGGGACTGACCTGAAATCCGTTTTGTTGGTTGGCGGTGATAGCCTGGAGGAACAGTTTGAATACATGGCGAGTAACCCAGATATAATTATTGCGACACCTGGACGATTCCTTCATTTGAAAGTAGAGATGTCCTTGGACCTGTCGAGTATCCGCTATGTTGTCTTCGATGAGGCAGATAGGCTTTTTGAGATGGGCTTTGCAACACAATTAACCGAAATTCTCCATGGTCTGCCTTCATCACGGCAAACACTTCTATTCTCTGCGACTTTACCTAAGTCTCTGGTGGAATTCGCTCGAGCAGGTCTCCAGGAGCCAATTTTGATCCGCCTCGATGCCGAAAGCAAGATCTCACCGGACCTTCAAAACGCGTTTTTCACTGTGAAGTCATCCGAGAAAGAGGGCGCTCTATTACATGTTTTACATGAAGTGATCAAAATCCCTACCGGAGAGACAGAAGCACTTAAACGCGCTAAGGAAGAAGTGAAGCATTCAAAAAAACGGAAGCGGTCCGAAGTTACTTCAAATTCCCATAAAGAATCTCCTACTGAACACTCTACGATTATTTTCACGGCTACAAAGCATCATGTTGATTACCTAACATCAATACTACGTACATCTGGCTTTGCTGTTTCCTACGCATACGGTTCCTTAGACCAAACCGCTCGCAAAATCGAGGTTCAAAATTTCCGTGACGGAATAACACATATTCTCGTTGTAACCGATGTTGCAGCCCGAGGAATCGATATCCCTATACTTTCCAATGTGATCAACTATGATTTCCCTTCACAGCCTAAGATATTTGTTCACCGTGTTGGACGGACTGCTAGAGCTGGCAAGACTGGTTGGAGTTACAGCCTCATCCGAGAATCGGATACTCCCTATTTGCTCGACCTTCAACTTTTCCTTGGTCGACCTTTAATTTTAGGACGAGGTTCAGGTCAACAACTCAACTACGCCGAGAATGTGGTTGTGGGTAGTTTACCGAGAGACAAGGTTGCCCGCTACACTGAATGGATGACTAAACTCCTGGATGAAGATGTCGATATTGAGTTGCAGCGCGAAGTTGCAATAAAGGGTGAAAAACTGTACATGAGGACAAGAAATTCGGCCTCCGGTGAAAGCGCTAAGCGAGCAAAAGCAGTAGTTGAATCGGCTGAGTGGATGATGGTGCATCCACTTTTTAATGATGAATCAAGCCGATTGGAGGAGCAAAGAGAGAAGATGCTTGCTCGCGTTGGAGGTTACAAACCGCAGGAAACTATTTTCGAGATCAGTGGCAGGCGTGGGGGTAAGAATGGGAATGATGAGGCGATTGATATGATGAGAAAAATGAGGTCGACACTTGAATCTAAGAAAAAGCGAAAAGAGTCCGCACAAAATAACACGCACCCAACCAACGACTTGAGGATAGCTAACCATCATCCGCCGGACGATAGCGATGACGCGAATGAGTTGCGTGACTTCGATGGCGAGAATGATAATGCAATTGCTGCTGACAATATGTCGCTCGCATCTGATTCAGAACTTGAAGTCACATTCTCCTATCCGCAGTCTGGCAAATCTAATTCGAAAAAGGACACAAATCATCCAAATCTCAGAGAGTCCTTCCACAACCCAGAGTATTTCATGTCGTACACACCTGCATCCAACTCTCTGGCTGAAGATCGTGCATACGGAGTTCATTCAGGTTCAAACACCAATTTCGTTGAATCTTCACGCATCGCGACTATGGATCTTGCGGGCGACGAAAGTACTTCACGGGGCTTTGGGGAACCACGCTCCATCATGCGCTGGGACAAGCGCCAAAAGAAATATGTATCCCGTCGAAACGACGAGGACGGTTCGAAAGGAGGTAAAAGCGACCTTCTCGTCCGTGGCGAGAGTGGAGTTAAGATTGCGGCAAGTTTCCGAAGTGGACGTTTTGATGCGTGGAAGAAAGGAAAGAGGATCGGCCGCATGCCAAGGGTCGGAGAGGCGGAAGCGCCTGGCCTTGGTTCCGGTATGCCCGGGGGCAAAAAGTACAGGCATCGCAAAGAGCAGGCACCCAAAACTCCCGATAAATTTAGAGGTGATTACGAGAAAAAGAAAAAGAAGTTGGAAGCTGCAAAGCAACGTGAGACAGAGAAGGCTTTTGATCCTTCTTCCGGTGCTAAGAAGGCAGCCGTTACGAGTCGTGGCAAAAGCGAGCTTAAAACTGTTGAGGATATAAGGAAGGCTAGAAAGGTGAAGGAGTTGAGGAAACAGAAAAATGCGCGACCTTCAAAGAAGGGCAAGGGGAGATAGTGGAAATGGTTTGATGTCCTATATTAGAGGCTTGGGTATCAGTGTCCCTGACCTTATTCTCAGTTGATATTTAACCAAGAAACTTTGCTTTATTCTTTTTATTATTTTCATTCCCGCATTTATCGAACTACCCTCTTCGATGCTGGTCTACAGTCCGAATGCACTGAGGAATCCTATCCACATGGGGGCGGAGTGTCAACTAGTCTTGCTACTCCCTTCCTGATGTACAGTTTCAATATCCGCCCACTCGTTAGAGGCAATTACATTGCAGAAAATACCGTTAGACTTCTTCCTATGAGACGCAACTCTCCACGGCGTATGAGACCAGACCTTAGTCCCATCGTTCTTGGGTGTCCGATCGCCTGTATATCTGACCATCTACATGCTTTGTTTCCCTGTACAGTCAAGTGCATTGGAAACACGGTGCTAAATTCCGTTCCTTAAATTCATTCTCTTATCATGTGTGTGCTCTGAACAATGGCTAACCTCTTTATTCAAAGGAGAAAATGGATGGAGGGAATAAGCCTTGTATCCTAAACATGGCCATCGGTTTGGTTTGCCCCGTGGTGCTTGCCATGCTTTTTGGCAAAAAAAACTACTATCGCCCACGGATTCCCAATGTTTCATGACATTCTCCCCCCCAGTTATATATGTTACGGGCTACTTACGGGAACAACTGCTAGTACGAGGAATGCCCCCAGTGCTCCATTGAGATTTTGACCAACCACTGTCACAATAAATAGGTCACTGTCCTTAATGCATCGAG